TTTTTTTTATCACTGCTACTTTCTAGTCTTTATCAATTGTACTTTTTAAATTTTTATTATTAATTGATGCTTTGGCAATATAGTCTTTGTTACACTCACTCCAATAAAGATACTGAATTGAAAAAAAAAAGAATGAATCATGTACTTATTTTTTCAGTGTTAGTGCTATAAAACACTGCAGGAAACCCTGGTGTGAAACTTTTATTATTAGTAGTATTTTTTGTTTATTTCTATCCCTGATACTTTCTAGTCTTTATTATTGTACTTTAAAAAATGTTAGTTATTTATTCATTTATTATTTTATTTATTTATTTTTTTTATCCCTGCTATTTTCTAGTCTTTATAAATTGTAATTTTTAAAATATTTATTTCTAATCTTATTATCACTTACTATAAAACACTGCAGGAAACCCTGTTGTAAAATAATTTTTTAACCCCCTCCCCACTGTTTGACAGGACAACAATACTTTGTGATAATACAGAACTCTTTGGGTATTGTGCTTTACTGGTGCTTATTCCCTAAAAAGGTGCAATTAATTAATTGGCCTAATAAAAAGAAACAAGAATTTGTAAATATTTTTGGGGGCCCCAGGGCAGTTTTCTGAGACTACTTCAGTTCATAATTCAGATTTTCTTTTCTCACTTATTTCCACAAACTTGAACTTGAAGGGTAACCCAAATATCAGGTAGTTTGAGCTTTTATTTTGAAGGCCGCTGTGACAGGCTCCCTCCTGTAGCTTCACACATGACAGAATTTAGTGTTTGTGTGTGATACAGCAGGGGAGGGGGCTTCCCACTCCTTCAGTCTGTAAGGTTATTTGAGTTGGGGTCAAGCAGAGGACAAGAGGAGGAGGTGCTGCCTCTGCACCAGACTGCAGTGCTGCCAAAACACTGACAGCTACAGAGCTGCGACGCAACATCTCTGAACTGTTTCAACACAACAAATAACACCATCAGCTCTAAATAAAGAGTCTGTTGGCAGAGCTAAGAGGCTCCACTGCTGTGCTGTTTCATTTTACACATATCAGGGTTTTAAAGAAGAGAAACAGCTGAGTTATGCTAAGCTACGCTAACTGTTTCCTGACTGTAGCTTCATATTTACTCAGATACGACAGTGGTTTCAATCTTCTCATTTAAATCTCTGAAGGGAAGCTAAGAAGTGTTTTCAGATTTTAGTGTATTGAACCATTTCTTTATAGCGAACTGTTAAGTTTTCAGTGTCTAAGATTTTTGAGGGATTTAGTGGCATCTAGTGGTGAAGACTGCAGACTGCAACCAGCTGAATCTTTTCCCGGTTAAAATTCTGTCAGTGTTTATTGTTCGGGAGGTTTTTACCTGGAGCTGAATTATTACAGAGGTCTCTTCCTCTCTGAAACAAACAGACTGGTGATTCAAACCAGTAAAAACACTGAATAAAGCAGTTACACGTAAAAAAAAAAAAATCTGTATTTTTCCGACACTCTCGTCACTAAGGGGATGCTAACTACAGTGAAAAAGTGAATGTCCTTAACAGAGGCTGGTTCGATGTTTTAAAAGCGTAAAAATACAATTTGAAAAAATAAAAAAATCTGATTTGATTTGAATAATTGGCTTTTGTCATGTTTATCCATAGATCTAGTATTTTTTTAAAAGATGTTAATTCAGTAAAAAGCTCCATTAATCTGCTGATTGTTTAGAAAACGTCTATAAAATGTCAGAAATTGTAAAAATGCCCATCACAATATTCCTGGAGCGAAAGGTTGTATCTTGTCTCTGACCAATAATTTTAATCCCAAAGATATTTAATCTAAAATTATATAGAATTAAAAAAATAGCAATAGCATCATTTCTCCTGGCTATTTAGGATCAGTAGGACCTGATAAGTATAAAAAAACTAAACATTGTCAATGATAATTAATTCCCAACTGAGTCTCAGCTTGTTACTGTTGCTAACATTGGTCAAATGTGTTGCCATATCAAACTACAAACATAATTAATCATAAATAAAAAAGTTTCAACCATAAAATGTGATCAGGTTTTGGACTGCGTCCATGTTTATGTCAGGATCAGCTGCAGACTGACTTGGCAGAGATGGCTGCCATCTTGTTTTTACATGGGTTAGTGTATTGTGCTCTCACTATCACTAGATGGCACAAAAGAAGTGTTCATAAACGAGGACAACAGGTCTGAGTTAAGTAGAATGAAGCATAAGGCCAAGTAAACCCAAAATGTGACGTCCTCATACGAGGATTAATTTTTGTTTCAATCTCGTTATATATTAATAGACTAATCTCTCAGCTCTTGTCAAATATATTTAAATAAGCCTGTTTACAAGATCTTAATTCAACTACATAAAGTGTTACAGGATGAAAAAACCGAGGGGCAGTGACGACACAAGTCAAAGTAAGAAAATGAAACAGCTTCAACATCTCAATGAAACAAAGACGAAAACACTCTTTTTGTTTTAATTTCTGCTTTAATAGATGCAGCCCACCTGGTGTGAAGGAAAGGCCACTTTTGGTAACGATTCAAAGAGAAACCACAAGATACCGACAAGAATAAACCTGCGTCAGTGAAGTGTTCGCCTGCAGAGAAGCTGCAAATAAAAGCAACATGTGATGAAACCCTCAGTTTCTCCTGCAGCTTTGTTTTTCTGTCACACTGTCAAAAGGCACTGGCGAGGTCCGAGCTTTCAGATCGAGCTCAAAGGCCAAAATTTAATTGAAGTTTGCACTATTCTATTGACTTCCATCTTGAGTAGACAGATTGGTGAATTTAAATGAGAGGATTTATCTTCATAAATGACCTGTTTATCATCCTTTCTTTGGCTCTAAAGACGACAACAGTTTTGGATTTTGCAGCTCAGATCTGAAAACACGCGACCTTCATTTTCCTCAAGTGTAATCGAGATTCTTCAGATGAACCCGTCATGTGAGATAAACCTGATCCGTTCTCTGTAGTCATCATTGGAAAGAAAACAAATCAATAAAATGTCAGAAGAGCTACACATAGATCTTTGGCATTTAACAGTTCCTGGATGTTCAAACTAGACACAGATCGCACGAAAGCGAAGATCATAAGAGCCGAAAAAGGTCAGACGTCTAATTCAGCTGCTGTGGAGAAAACAAGGACCATTTAGCAGCAGTTCTGGAGCTTTCAATCAAATCAATGATCGCAACACGAGTTTGTTTGTTTTTTATTTCCAACATTAAGAATAAACGTTGAACCGAAGCCTTTAAGACGATGTGGATGAAAAGTCCGTGAATGTGCTCAGACAAGATGGCAAAGTAAACTTCTTCAAGTTCTGACAAAGCCGATGAAGTTCATGTGAAATAATCAAAAGCTCCAGAACAGCTGCCGATAATTAACCCAGACAATTTCGTAGCTAAGACTTTGTTCAATTTTTAAAACCACAAAAAGTAAATGAATATTTTTGTATCAAGTATAATTCAAAGTGTCATTTTACACCACATAATGTTGATATGTTAAATTGTTTAAATCTATCAACAGTTTGGGATGCACGAAAGTAGTTTTGTTGTTAAATATTTTCAATTAAAAGTTTGGGGGCACCCCCGGGACTCCATAAAATAAATAAATATTGTTATGTATGTATTTCTAAATTTTATAGATACTGTAGGATGTGTTGCTGTGATACAGTTCAGTCAATTTGCTGAAGAAGTCTTATCACAAAAGTCACTGAAAGCTCTGGAAAAGTTAAGTAAGGAGTAGGGCCATCAAAGTTAACGCGGTGATAACAAGTTAACGCAAACTCCTTTTAATTCCACTAATTTATTTGAAACGCGATTAACGCATGGACATCCTGTAGTTGGAGCACGGTCTCACTCCAAAGTCTTCGAAATCCAGGGCTTGGGCAGTGACTTGTGGCGTCAGAAACCAACGTAAAAAGGCTTCCATTAACGTTGGCATGATACGTAGCCGGTTGTCGTTATAGTTTAACGGCGCCCAATGGCGTCGGGGGAAATGTAGCAGGACATGGACGAAAGTTAAGGTGGTGAAGGTAAAAAAATGTGCAAGTAATTTGCGATTAATTGTGATTCAATACTTTAATTATTCAATGTTATAGAGAACAAAGAAAACCAGGAAATTTTGGAGGCTGGAACGAGCAAATTTCTGCTTTTAAAACGCCAGAAAACAGCGAAAAATGCCATAAATGACTCCTGACAGCCGACGACAACATCTTCAAACTGCT